AGTGGGACAATGACAAATGTCACCTTTCGTTGAGAAGAATGGCATAATCCACAGACATACTTATATCGTCGTGCTTATTCTGCCCGTAATATCAACAGCTGTTATTTCACTCAGTTCGGATTGCCGGCGAACGATTTAAACGACGGCCGACATTTGAGAACGCAACAAGAACGCCGCTCAGGCAACAAAGAGAGATTTCAGTTAGACCAACAGCTTGCCGGCGCCCCCATTAGTCTTCCACTTCGTTACTGGTCTTGCGGACTGTATGATTTGTATAAACAATAGGCGAACGCACAACGAACCGCCACCGCGAGAGAAAAAGTCTCGTATAGCCAGAAGTCCGATAATCAAAATTAAGCTGCACGAATAACAACGTACTTTGTCGTACCAAGGAGTGTGCGTCGCTCACGTCATCTACCGGTCGGCGTCAATTGGTCGGTCACATTTTGTCACAAATTTAATTCAAATTCCGATTTTGACAGAGCTGCCTTGAAGAAATATATTGATCGATCGATCGATCAATCGATATATCGATCGATCAATCGCGGCATATTCTCATTCGAAGGATACGGTAGACGAAACGAACGGCGCGTGAACGACGTCGAAAATTCCGAACTCGTGACGTCGACAAGAAGGTCGCATTGCTCGCACATGCGCAGTGAGTTAATTTTACGGTGCAAAAGACATGCTCGACGTAAAAACTACAACATGGACGGCGGAGGCAGCCATCATCACGCAAAACCAGTAGAAGACGAGGGCGGTCGGCGACAGCCGATCGGATTCGATCCGTCTGATCGATCAATAAGATCGAGGAATTCCGGTGTCGAACGCGACGCGTGCGGTGACCAACCGCATGAGAATCAAGTTCATAATTTATGCATGTGCAACGGAGCGCCGAATCGACGCCTAAAAACCACAAAGCCACGTGCGAAAAAAAACTACAACGACGGCGGCGGCAAATTCATTATGAGCTAGTCCTGCAACCGGCAACGCTGTACCGACAGGCATAACAAATAATGTCGCAGAAGATGACATACAAATGTGAATCGGTCTGTCGTTCCGGTCGTCGACGACGGCACTCAACGGCACGACGATACAAACCAACAGATGAAACGGACACCAGCTGACGGGAACGGTCAGCCGTCGTTCGGTCAATCCGTTTGTCTGTCGGTCCATCACGAAATCCGTCGGTAAACAACGGCAAAACTGCGACGGGTCGGTCCTCCGACTGACCCAGTGCCAAGTGTGTACTCAACGTGAAAAACGTTCAAGCACCAGTAGACCGATCGATCGATGGGATAATCGATCATGCAAAACGCGTTTCGCGATTGTTGTGCGACGAAACGAGTTTGCCGCCGCGACAGTATAGCGAATAAGTTAAGTAACCGGCCTTTGTTGGCCGGTGGTAGCATGGCAAGCGAGGCACACTAGATTAGAAGGTGTCGCGCTGCCAAGTGAAAGGTACGACAAGGCATCGGTTGCTTGCCCGAGTAAAAAGCGATGAGACACGCGATGTTTTCCACTCTAGCATGCGTTTAACACAGACACACGCTTTGTAGCCTAACAAAGTTACACTACATATACACAAAGCAGTATCGTCGATTCATGGACGAAACCGAAAATATCGTAATCCTACACAAGTGGTTACCATTGCAACGGAGAGGCACAGAAGGGGAAAACAAGGAACAGCATGCGACAGCTCCATTACCATGGAATAATACTGTAATTAATCATTTTCTTGCTTTCTGTAATTAAGTGTGAATTCAAGGTTTGTTTTTGTGCGTGCGCTTGAACGCTGAAAAATGTAGTACTTTTTGTAAGACATATTTTAACCGTCGCCACGGGTCGTCCGGTTTGCTGATGACGCGTGAAACCATAAGTTAGCGCCGTCACTGTACACTCTCAGCGGATCGTACATACGGTTTAGACGAAGACCTGGTGTAACACACCATCGGATGTTTAAACCGTAGATGATTTGTCAATTCATGGTTAAGGAAAGAAGTGCAACGAGTTCTGTTTAGTTTAAAATTAAACTCAGCGCACGACGGTGACGTCATTCACCGCATCGTCACCGTCGTCCATCTGCAGCTGGGAGACAAGGGAAGAGACAACAAAACTTTACGAAAAGAAAAGTGATCGTTTACCTTTGACCGCTTGTTAGGTGGTGGTTCCAGCCACTGTGTCGGTGTTGCCGTTGTCGTACCAGTGGTCATTGTCATCTGATCATCGACGTCGGTGTCGATGTC